TAATTGAATTTATGATTTTAGAATTTTAAATTTTATAAATTTAGAAATTTTACATTTATATAAATTGATAAATATTATAGAGGAATACATTTATAAAAGCACTGAATCTGGATGTTTAATGCTGTCAGCTTGTGGCTTTTAAAGTAATTATTAGTGACAAGAAATTCTGACTTTACACAGTCTGGAAGTTCTGACTTCCTTTTTGAGAGAATTTAATCATTGAATTAATAATTTTAGACTTTTAAATTTTATAAATTTAGAATTTTCAGATTAAATCTATCTATAAAAGCACCAAATTTGGATGTTTAAAGCTGGCATCTTGTGGCTTTTAAAGTAATTATTACTGACAAGAAGTTCTGACTATGCACAGTCTGGATGTTCTGACTTCCTTTTCTAGTGAATTTAATCATTGAATTTAGAATTTTAGCATTTTAAATTTTATAAATTTAGAATTTATACATTTAGAATTTTCAGATGAAATCTATCCATAAAAGCACTGAATTTGGATGTTTAACGCTGTCATCTTGTGGTTTTAAAGTAATTATTACTGACAAGAAGTTCTGACTATGCCAAGCCTGGAAGTTCTGACTTCCTTTTTGAGAGAATTTAATCATTGAATTTATAATTTTATAAATTTAGAATTTATACATTTAGAATTTTTCAGATGAAATCTATCTATAAAAGCACTGAATTTGGATGTTTAAAGCTGTCATCTTTTGGCCTTTAAAGTAATTATTAGTGACAAGAAGTTCTGACTATGCACAGTCTGGATGTTCTGACTTCCTTTTTGAGAGAATTTAATAATTGAATTAATAATTTTAGACTTTCAAATTTTATAAATTTAGAATTTTTCAGATTAAATCTATCTATAAAAGCACCGAATTTGGATGTTTAAAGCTGTCATCTTTTGGCCTTTAAAGTAAATATTAGTGACAAGTTCTGACCATGCACAGTTTGGAAGTTCTGACCATGCATAGTGTGGAAGTTCTAACTTCCTTTTTTAGAGAATTTAATCATTGAATTTAGAATTTTAGAATTTTAAATTTTATAAATTTAGAA